TTAATAGACTCTAGGGAAGGTGAGGGTCAAAAAAATATTTGTAGGGTTGAGGTAATGTCGATATCAAATTTTTAACAATTTCAATCATTCTTATATAAGGTCTGGAAAGGTAGGATAAATAAGTTATTATTTTGAAACCTTGGATAATGTACTTTTGCCATTTGGATTAACGCTGGAGAACATTATCGCCCGATTGTCCATAGATGAAGTATTTATGTCAACAAAAATTGAACTAACTATTATTAGGGCTTGTGTCTAGTAACACATCCACAGTTGACACTTTTTCCACATCCCTTCGCATTCGCAGTCTGTGCAATTCAATTTAGTTCTTTGTGCAACGCAACGTATTGCCTTCGATAGCTCAGTTGGTAGAGCGGTGGACTGTAGTGTGTCGTTGTCATTGTGTAGTTTCATGGAGTGTTGGTTCCAAGCAATTAGCGGGCCGTAAATACCAGCGTGCTTACGCAGTTGGCATTGGCCTTCGCTTCGGCTATGCAAGCACCAATATCAGTCGATATCCATAGGTCGCTGGTTCAAATCCGGCTCGAAGGAAGTTCTGTATTTTTTTTTGAGAGAGTTTTATTTATTTCTTGATTTTTATAACCTCCACCATACATAGTATGGAGGGAAAATTAAGTTCGTCATTCCGTTTGTTCGGAATAATAATTTTAGACCCAACAAAGTATAAATATTCTTGATAAGCGGAAAATTCTAAGACGATTTAGCCCTGTCCGTCCGTCTGTGGAAATCACTCTAACTTCCGAACGAATTGAAGTAGATTGATAAAATTTTACTCAAATCTATATTATATCTGCAGGACTTCTGATATTGGGCCATATAGGTCCACGTTTTGGTATAGCCCCCACATAACTGTACCTATCGATATTGGGTACTTTGATGATGAAATGTCGCTAAACATTTTTCAACGGAATTGTTCCGAATTTGGTATTTGCTCGCAATGTATACTTCACAATACCTCAGCCTATGACAGAAAATTGTCTGTGCAGGTTCACGTCTTCATATAGCCCCCATATAACGGTACCTCCCGATATTCGATATTTTGGTGATTTGAGCGACATTATTCACCGGAAATGTTTCAAATTTCGTATTTGAAGTTCGTAATGGCTACTACAGCTTATGACGGAAAATTGTCTGTGCATGTCCACGTCTTCGGTAGCTCCCAATATTCGGTATTTTGATGATTTTAGCTACATTATTCTCCGATTTTTTATACCCTACACCACATAGTGGTAAGGGTATTATGTCTTTGTGCATTTGTTTGTAACATGGAAAAGGAAACGAGATAGACCCATAGTTACTTTTGAGAACCTTCAAAGAATCACTTTCGGAGTCGATTTATGCATGTCAGTCCGTCTGTCCGTCCGTCCGTCCGTCCGTCTGTCCATGTATTCTTGTGAACAAAATGCAGGTCGCATTTATTATCCGATTGAGATGAAATTTTCCAAACAATGATTTTTTGGCCCAAGGACGAACCTTATTGAAATTGATGAGAATCGGATCAAATTTAGATATAGCTCCCATATATATCTTCATCCAATTTCGGGTTAAATGTGCACCAAATGTCCACTATCAGTCCAAATTACCTGAACTTTGGCACACCCAACCGAGTTCGGCCTAGAAGCAAGTATATCAAATTTGTAGAAAATCGGTTCAGATATAGCTATAGCTCCCATATATATCTTTCATCCGATTTGATCTTTAAGTCCCTCACATTCCTACTATGCACGCCACAACCGTGATATTTGGTACCAGGTATTAGATGGAGCACAGAAATGTGATCGAGATTAGCCTTAAACAAATACAAAAAATTTGGAGAAAATCGGTTCAGAAACAGCTATAGCTCCCATATATATGTTTTATCCGATTTGGTGTTTAAGCCTCTCACATTCGTAATATGCACTCCACAAGAATGATATTTGCTACCAGATAAAAGATACAGCCCAGAAATAGCTGTTTGTAATTTTATCGAAATCGGTTCAGATTTGGATATAGCTCCCTTATATATCTTCATCCGATTTCGGGTTAATTGTGCACCAAATGGTCGATATAAGTCCAAATGGACTGAATTTTAGTACATCGGACCAAATTCAGCCTAGAAGCAAGTATATCAAATTTAGTGAAAATCGGTTCAGATATAGATATAGCAACCATATATATGTTTTATCCGATTTAGTGTTTTAGTCCCTTACATTCGTAATATTCACTCCACAACAGTGATATTTGGTTCCAGGTATTAGATGGAGCACAGGAATAGCTGTTTTAAATTTTACCGAAATCGGTTCAGATTTGGATATAGCTCCCATATATATCTTCATCCGATATCGGGTGATTGACCACCAAATGGCCGTAATAGCATCAATTTTGGCAAATCCGACCGAAACCAGCTTAGAAGCAAGTACACCAATTTTAGTAAAAATCGGTTCAGATATAGCTATAGCTCCCATATATATCTTCTTCCGATTTCATGTTAATTGTGCATCACATGGCCAACATCAGCCCAAATGGCATGAATTTTCGTACATAAGACCGAATTCAGTCTAGAAGCTAATACGTCAAATTTGGAGAAACTCGGTTCAGAGATAGCTATAGTTCGTAAAATGCACGATAGAATTAGATAGATTTTGATTTTGTACCAAATATCCCATAGAGCTCTGAAATGCCCCGTATAAACCTTTTTACGAGAGCTCTACTAAATATGCATAGTGGTGTAGGGTATCATATAGTCGGCCCCGCCCGACTTTTGAGCTTTCCTTACTGGTTTAAAGCTTCGCATTTGAATATTGACAAAAGCTACCTATGCAGGTCCATGTCGTCGTGTAGACCCTAATATAACAGCTACATTCGGTATTTTTAAGATTTTAATAGTTTTTTTAATGGATTTTATTGTTTTTGAGAATTGCCAAATTCGTTCCAAATGGTGGAGGGTATTCAAAGTTTGGCTCGGCTGAACTTACAGTTTCTTTACTTGTTCGTTTTATAATGTTTTATAGGACTACTTTACGCAATAATTACCAATGGTCCATGTATATTTAATGACAATAGTCTCACGGAAATTACATATACAGGGTGAGATAAAAAAAAACTGCAAAAAGTCGAACGCTATAATTTTTCCTTTTTTTTAAATTTCATTGAAAGAAAGCAAAAAAGGTCGGAAATAGCATCATATTTTAGAATAAGTTTAGATTTGTCGGAATCGGTCACCTTTGGCACGAATTATGGCCTTCAAACGGCCAATGAAACCTTCACACGCTGCCCGAATGTTGATCTGCGGTATTTTGGGCCATTCCCGGCGAAGCACTTGCTTGGGGTGATCGATACTTTGGTATTTTTTAGTGACAACCTTGCTTTCCGAAATACTTCAGACACAATAGTCCAACGTGCGCTGGAAATGAAGCGAGGAACCTCATTTTGTAACCATTTTTGGGTGGCGCGTGCTGTGTGCGATGGTGCTGAGTCCTGTTGGAATGTCCAACCTTTGACCTTTTTGGCAAGTAAACACGATCATTTTGTTTGTTTACAAACTGCTGGACAACGAATGTTTTCTCATCGGAGAAAACCAAATTCGGCAGTTCACCACTTTCGGCCAAGCGAAGCTCTTTTGAGTTTATTTTTTCCTGTTGCGGTGTATGTACTTGCACTTTTTGAAATTTCAATGGCTTTACCCCGAGCTCATTTTTCAATATTTGCCGAATGGAATATTACGATATGTTCAGCTCACGAGTCATTTTTCGGCCACCGCGACGCGGGTTTCGATTAAACCGCTTCTTTACTTTTCGAACCATTTCCGCTGATGTTGCTGTTGAATTCGATCACGAATAACTTTTTTTCTGGAAAATTCTCACCAAAATTCTTTTATAGGCTTGTAAATAATATAATGAGCTGTTACTGGAACAATTTTAACAGCTGTCGGAGGAGTGGCTTTGAAATGACAGCAGTCTGAAGTTGGTTGTAGTTTTTTCATCTCACCCAGTTTGGGGTTTAAAGTCCCTCACACGCGTAATATGCATTCAACAACAATTATCTTTGGTACCAGATATCGGATGCAGCTCTGTAGAAGTGTATAAAATTTTGTGAAGATCGGTTCAGATTTGGATATAGATCCCAACCGATTTTGGGTTAATTGTGCACCAAACGGCCAATATCAGTCCAAATGACCTGAATTGTTGCACATTCGACCGAATCCAGTCTAGAAACAAGTACATCAAATTTCCTGAAACTCGGTTTAGATATAGCCATAGCTCCCATATATATGTTTCATCCGATTTGGTCTTTAAGTCCGTCACATTCGTAATATGCATTCGAGAACAATGATATTTGATAGAATATATCTTATAGAGCTCCGAAATACCTTTGCAAAATTTTTATCGAGATCAGTTTAGATTTGATATATATTCTTAATCCGATTTCAGGTTCATTGTGCAAACAGTGGCTAATATCAGCCAATATGGAGTGAATTTCGGGACGTTCGTTTCCATTTTATGGAACTCGGCTCGAAGTGATATCATGCACTCTACAGCAATGCTATTTGATATAAAAGATTAAAATGTCTACGTCATATTTAGTGAAAATCGATTCAGGATGGGATATGCCTACGCCAATATATTCGTTCCCTCTGAAACCAAACTATAACAGCTCTAAAGCCAAATGTTGATAAGTGGTATGATCTACTTCAAATAAATTCTTTTGTTACGGGAGCTCTACTAAATATGCATAGTGGTGTAGGGTATCATATAGTCGAGCCCGCCTGACTTTTGACTATTCCTTACTGGTTTAAATAATCGAATTGAATTGGACTAAAATGTCTCAAAATCTAAAATAAAATTATTTTGTGAACCTAAAATGAACTTTGAAATTTTTCGAATCTAATTATATTTCTCATGGATGATGTGGAAAACATTTCGTATGAAATTTTGTAACGGCATTTATTTTGATACTTGAACTATGTTTCTCTTCTCACACAATTCCATTTCTCATTTTAGGTGCATTTCTAATACCCTATCTTTTAATGTTATTCCTCTGTGGCATTCCATTGTTCTTTATGGAAATAATAATGGGTCAGTTTTCTAGTCTGGGTTGCATTGGCATTTTTCGTTTGGCTCCGCTGTTTAAAGGTGATATCTTGGAGGATAATAACAATTTTTCCATTAATTACCATAATTTCAATCTCTATTTTAAGGTGCCGGCTTTGCCATTGTTATAGTCAATATTATCTGTACAACATATTATTCCGTTATAATCTCGTATCCTTTAATGTTTCTCAAACACATATTCTCATCGAAATTGCCCTGGGAATCGTGTGAAAATCCATGGAACACCAATCACTGTGTTGAGGTGACAGACGTAAGTTTTTAATGGAATTATGTGAGAAATGAAAGATAAAGTATTTATTTTCAGATGGCAAAATATAATTTCACAACGCGTGGAGAATTCAAAACGCCAGCGGATGAATTTTTTCAGTAAGTTATAAGATGATGAAATTTCAGTCGAAAGAGCTTAATTCTTAGATGAATTCGAATTTGAAACACTCGACATTTTCTTTATTTTGCTATAATGTATTTTTTAAATGTTTGTGGTATTTATGGTCTCCATAAAACATCACCATAGTTCATCTAAACAGGTTTGCTGGGTTGGTGGTTGTTTCTATGTTTCATCTATGGTAGAAGAATACAGGTAGATGCATCAATACTTGGGAACTTTGATATGACAAAATTTTTTAAATATTTTTTAAAAAATAAGTAGATTTTTTAATGTTTTCTTACACGACGCCTAAATTTTATATGATATGCATGTTTCAACACTATGTTTTGGGGGTATTATAAGTTTGATTGGGCCAAAAATTATGTAACACCTCGAAATAATGATTTCCGACATAGGAAACTATATATGGATCTTACTATCTCGCCGAGCTGAGTCGATCTAGCTATGCATGCCCGTCTGTCCATCTTAATTTGTAATCAAGCTACAGGTTGCATTTATGGCCCGATTCTCACGAAATTGAAAATGGTGCTGGGGTTAGGGTTAGAATAGAAGCCTATTGTTTTTGGAGATGGTTGCACAATATTTAGGGGTTGAAATGGACCAAAAATAGATTTTCCTGATTTTGCAGTTGCTCTATAAGCCACAATTATGAAATTATGACGCGGAAATTTGCATGGAGTTGGAGTTTAGGGCTGGATGGTAATCGAACAATATTTAGCGGGTAAAATAAACCCTAACTTTTATGTAAAAAAATACGAAAATTTCCACTAAAGCACGAATATTTTTAGTCCCGGTCAAATCACAAGTAAATTAAAACGTCACTTCTGACCATTACAGTCATGCTAATAGCCAAGATATCGGATATGTAGCAAAATAGGTACAGTATACAGGGTGAGATGAAAAAACTACAACAAAATTAAACGTCATAAGTTTTGCATTTTTTTAAGTTTTATTGAATGAAAGCCAAAAATGTCGGAAGTAGCATCAAATTTTAGAATAAGTTTAGATTTGTTCGAATTGGTGACCTTTGGCACGAATTATGACCTTCAAACCGTCTCACGCTGTCCGAATGGTGCTCTGCGGTATTTTGATCCATTCACGGCGAAGCGCTTGCTTGAGGTGATCGACACTTTGGTATTTTTTTAGGCCAACTTTGCTTTCCAAAATACTCCATACACAATAGTCCAACGGATTGGTATCCGAAGATTTTAGTGTCCATTGTGAGATGGAAATGAAGCGAGGAACCTCATTTTATAACCATTCTTGGGTGGCGAGTGCTGAGTCCTGTTGGAATGTCCAAGGTCTTCGGCCAAAATGGTTTCGTGCCCAAGGCTTTAATACACCTTCCAGAATATTTTCGCGATAATATTCGGCATTTATTCTGATGCCACGATCGATTAATACGAGCGGAGAGCGACCATCGGCGGTTATGGCGGCCCACACCATCACCATGACCGGCGTTTGAGTTCTAGTGGACAAACGAAGGTGTACATTTTCAGCTGACCTCTTTGCCAAGTAACTATGATCATTTTGTTTGTTTACAAACTACTGGGCAACGAATGTTTTCTCATCGGAGAAAAAAAAATTAACTCTTTAGCTCTTTTGAGAATATTTTATTTCTGTTGCGTTGCAAAGTTCTTGCACTTTTTTGATTTTCAATGGCTTTACCCCGAGCTCATTTTTCAATATTTGCCGAATGGAATATTGCGATATGTTCAGCTCACGAACCATTTTTCGGCCACTACGACGCGGGGCTCGATCAAGTCGCTTCTTAACTTTTCGAACCATTTCTGCTGATGTTGCTGTTTTCTTCCGACCACTTCCTTGACGTCGGGCTATGCTACCAGTAACACGGTAACGAGCGATGGTACGAGACACAAAAGATTTATTTACATTTAAATCCTGGAGTGCTCTAACGATAGCCACTTGTGGTTTCCCAGCCAAATATAAAGAAATCATACTATCACGCTTGAATTCCATCACAAATAACTTTTTTTCTGGAAAATTCTCACGCTTGTAAACTATATAATGAGCTGTTACTGCAATAATTTTAAAAGCTGTCGGTCAAGTGGCTTAGAAATTACAGCAGTTTGAAATTGGTTGCAGTTTTTTCATCTCATCCTGTATATGGAAGATATGGCTAAATCTGAACCGATATACACCAAATTTGAAGTATTGGGGTCTAGGATGAATTCAGTCGGAATTGCCAAAATTCAATCCATTTGGGCCGATATTAGCCAATTGGTGAACAATTAACCCGAAATCGGTTGCAAGTATAAATGAGAGTTATATTCTAATCCGATCCGATCTCGAATAAATTTGACAGACGTATTTTCGAGATTCATAGGTATCTAGTACCAAATACCATTCTTGTGCAGTGCATATTACGCGTGTGAGGAACTTTAAACCCCAAATCAGGTGAAACATATATATAGGAGCTATAGCTATATGTGAACCGATTTTCTCCAAATGTCATGTACTTGCTTCTAGACTGAACTCGGTCGGATATGCTAAAATGCAGGTCATTTGGACTGATCTTTTCCATTTGGTGCACAATTAACCCGAAATCGGTTTAAGATATATATGGGAGCTGTATGTAAATATTTCAATAGGGTTCGTCCTCAGGGCCAAAGAAATATTGTTTGCAAAATTTCAACTCAATCGGATAATAAACGCGACCTGCATTTTGTTCACAAGAATACATGGACGGACGAACGTACAGATGGACTGACATGGATAAATCGACTCAGAAAGTGATTCTAAGAAGATCCTCAAAAGTAACTATGGGTTTATCTCGCTTCCTTCTCCATGCTACAAACCAATTCACACAGACATAATACCCTAACCACTAATACCACATCTAATATCCTAACCACAGTGATAGGTCTTCTAGCAAAGGGCATTTTAATGTAATATTATTTACATATGGATGTGGGATCGTGTTTCATTAGAAGATTTGAAGACATAAACTGACTCTTGATCTAGTGGTGGATAGTAGCACTTCTTTAAATCATTAAATATATGTAATGATTATGATTTCTTTCCTTTATTTTCATGAAGTCTAGAAATTTTGAAAATCTCTAATGGCATCTATGAAATCGGATCGATACAGTGGTCATTATTTGCCGCCCTGGTCTTGTCATGGATTATGGTCTACGTCTGCATCATTAAGGGCATTGAAACGGTAAGAATGCCTAATATATTGTAACTACAATGACTTCAATGCATTCTCCATTTAGGTTGGAAAAGTTGTCTACTTCACTGCCACATTCCCGTTCATTATTCTGTTCATTTTATTTGTACGCGGTGTCACGCTGCCCGGTGCCATGAAGGGCATTTTATTCTACATCAAACCGGAATGGTCGCGTCTCATGGACTTGAAAGTCTGGGCTGATGCTGCCATACAGATTTTCTTTTCACTGGGTCCCGGCTGGGGTGGCATCGTCAATATGGCCAGTTTCAATCATTTTCGCAACAACGCCAAGGGTGATGCCATATTCATACCGATTATAAATTGTTCAACGAGTATTTTTGCGGGATTTGTGGTGTTTTCGGTGCTGGGATTTTTATCACGTAAGTATGGCTCACTTATCTACAATATAAGCTTTGCTCCATTACCTTTTTATACCCTCATCCATATGGCTAGAGAGGGTATATATCATTTGATACGGCCAAAACGTTCCTTATCGAAATAACGGCTTTAGACCCAAGTTTTCTTTGGACCAAATCCGTTACAGGACATTTGGAGTCGATCTAGAGATGTCCGTCTGTCTGGGTGGCTGGTACGCACCATAACTCTCGAAGGAGTATTCGATTTTGTCCAAACTTGGTACATCGTTATTATTATTATTATTAAACTTAGATAGAGTTCGGAGATGTTCAATATCGGTCCACTCCATCAGTACCTCCCCTCAAAGGATCAAAAAAAAGTATAACTCTTATAAAATGTGATGTAAGAGTCCGATTGTCAAATGAAACACATTGCAATATTTTTATTAACCCAATGTATGGTGTGAAGATGTAACATATCGGTCCACTCCTTCTTGTAACTCCCCAAAAAAGGGTCAACATTTTGAATATCCATGAAGCTAATAAAATATCTCCATCAAGATAAGATTTATAAAATTGGCAGATATCGGAACATTTCTTCAGGTACCTCCCCCACAAAGGGTCAAAGTTTTGAATAACCAAAACGATTTTAAAATCCGAAATAAGCATCCAGTTCTCTTCAGACTTCACACATCTCATTATTTCTGCTAACACAAGATCTGCTGTGAAGATGGGATATATCTGTCCACTGCTTCTGGTACCTCCCCCACAAAGCGTCAACATTTTGAATATCCATGAAGCTCATAAAACGCGAAATTAATATCCGATTTCATTCAGAATGGGTGCATCACAATCTTTTTATCAACACAAGATCTGTTATAAAGATCGGACCATATTTTCTGGTACCTCCCCCACATGGGGTTCAAGTTTTTATACCCTCCACCATACTACGGAGGGTATATTAACTTTGTCATTTCGTTTGTAACTCCTCGAAATACTCATGTCAGACCCAACAAAGAACATATATTCTTGATCAGCGTAAAATTCTAAGTCGATTTAGCGATGTCCGTCCGTCTGTCTGTCCATTTGTCCGTTCTAATTACGCTATCTTTCGAACGAATTGAGATAGAAGGCTAAATTTTGTACAAATGTTTATTTTTACAGTAGGCAGGTTAAGTTCGTAAATGGGCCATGTAGGTCCACGTTTTCATTTAGCCCCCATATAAAGGTACCTCCCGATATTCGGTATTTTGATGATTTTAGCGACATTATTCACCGGAATTGTTTCAAATTAGGAATTTGAAGTTCGAAATGGATACCACAGCCTAAGACAGAAAATTGTCTGTGCAGGTCCACGTCTTCGTATAGCCTCCATATAACGGTACCTCCCTATATTCGGTATTTTGATGATTTTAGCGACATTATTAACCGGAATTGTTTAAAATTTGGTATTTGAAGTTCGTAATGGATACTACAGCCTATGATAGAAAATTGTCTGTTCAGGTCCACGTCTTCGTATAGCCCCCATATGTCAGTACCTCCCTATATTCGGTAGTTTCAGGAGTTTAGGTACAATACCCACCGATATTGTTTGAGATGTCGTATTTAAACTTCGTAGTGGATGGTACAGCCTCTGACAGAAAATTTTCTGGCTGGTCCAGGTCTTCACACAGCTCCGATATGACGGTACCTCCCTATATACGATATTTTGATGAATTTAGCTAAATTATTCACCGTATATTTCAAGTTATCGAATTTGAATATGGCAATGGCTTATGACAAACAATGCCTTTGTAGGTCCACGTCGTATAGACCCCAATAAAACGGCTATATTCGGTATTTTTAAAATTTAAACAGAATTTTTTAAGTATATTATTTCATGAAAATTTCCAAATTCATTCCAAATGGTGGAGGGTATTCAAAATTCGGCCCGGCCGAACTTACTGTTTTTTAACTTGTTTGAAAATATAAACGCTCTTTAAAATTTCTCACATACAAATATTTTTGCTAACACAAGATATGTTGTGAGGAACCCCTTCTGGTACCTCACCCATAAAGGGTCAAAAAGAGTAAAAACTGTTAGTTTTTTGAATACCAGTGTCTCTGGGGATACATAAACAGGAGCGAGTAAAAAATACTTCTTCTCATTTTAGATCAAACTGGCATTCCCGTGGCAGATGTTGCCACCTCTGGCCCTGGTTTAGCATTTATTACATATCCCCAGGCCATAGCTATGCTGCCATTTTCTCAAGTTTGGGCTGGTCTATTTTTTTGCATGTTATTCCTGTTGGGCTTAGACAGTGTGGTAAGTTCGAAATCTACAACAGTGTTAAAATGGTTCACTTAGTACCTATTTTCCATTTTCTTTTTCTAGTTTGTGCAAATCGAAGCTATTATATCATCGGTATTGGATGAAATACCCAAAGTGAGACCATATAAATACGCTGTGACCTTCGTCTCGTGTCTGCTTATGTTCTCAATGGCCATACTGTTTGTAACGAATGTAAGTAGTTATAATTTAAAGGTTTGACAGATAAGGTGGGTACCATAACTTAACCGGTAAGAAGGAATCAGGACATTTTTAATTACTTAGAAAATCAATTTAAAATTTTAATTTTGATAGTCAAACATATATTACACTGTGCGACAAAATTTTCTCTTTTTTCTATTTAGTATATTTGGTATATGAAGGTTATTTTGGAAATTTATCCTAAACGTGCGAACCGTATTATGTGGGAATAAATTTGGTACAGTTTGGTTTAGGGTGAACGGGTAAATTTGAAATTTTGTATTGGGAGGTTTTGGAAATTTGTACTACAAGTCCACGAAATGTACTATATTTAGTACAATTTGGTATAGTGCTTGAAATTTCAAATTTGATATTAGGGTCGCTGTCCATGTGTAAAAGTGTAATATAATTGTACGAAAATTACAAAATTGTACTAACTTTGGTATTTGGTGAAGGGATAGAGCTGGTGTCCTGATATTTGATATTGAGGTCTTTGTTGGTATATGGATTTGAGATATGGAGACGGTTTTGACAAATGCTTACTTTAATTGTACGAAAAGTACTAAATGGTACAAAATTTGATATTGGATGTAGGAATAGAGCTGAAATCCTGAAATAGAGTATTGGGCGAAGGAATAGAGCTAGAATTCGGAATTTTAATAATGAGATCTCAATTGGTATCTGGAATTGATATATGTAGATGGTTTTGAAAATGTGTACTATAACTCTACGAAAAGTTCTAAATGGTACTAAATTTGATATTGAGTGTAGAAATAGAGTTGAAATCCTGAAATTTAATATAGATGTCACTGGTTAAGATAAGAAGTTGGTTTTAGAAATGTGTACTATAATTGTTCGAAAAGTACTAAGTGGTACTAAATTGTGTATTGGGAGAAGTAATACAGCTGGAATTCCGAAATTTAATATTAAGGTCTCTGTTGGAATCTCATTCCCTGGAAATAAGTTACTAGACATTTTTATTTTACGTTCGTCTGTGTATTGTAATCACGCTGTGTTTGCTGACTCATATCAAACGAGAATTACATCGATTGAGTTGGTTCATCATGCTTCACCACTCCCTAAGCCTCTAACATCAATGCCTCCGGCGCTAGGTGTGAAGTTCCGGGAAATGTTATGCGAAACAAATTTGTATACCCTCAGCCATATGGCTAGAGAAGGTATGTATCGTTTGATACGGCCAAAACGTGCTTCATCGAAATAACGGCTTTAGACCCTAGGTCTCTTTCGACCAAATGCGTTTCAGGACATGATCTAGCGATGTCCGTCCGTCCGCCTGGCTGGTGCGCACGATAACTCTCGAAGGGAATATACGATTTGGTCCAAACTTGGTACATCGTAATATTATTATCAAACTAAGATCGAGTTCGGAGATGGAAAATATCGGCCTACTCCTTCTGGTACCTCCCTCACAAAAGGTCGATATTTTTAAAAATCCTTGCAAATCCTAGTATTTGCATCAGTGTTAGGTCAGGTGCGAAAGGTAACAGTATCGGTTCCCTCCAACATGTACCTCCCCCCAAAGGGTCAAAATTTTGAATAATTATAACTGTTATAGCAGTTTGATGTAAGAGTCCGATTGTCTTCAAATTTCACACATCACAATACTTTTATTAACCCAAGGTTTGGTGTGAAGATGGAATATATCGGTCCACTCCTTGTAGTATCTCCTCCACAAAGGGTCAAAAGTTTGAATATCTATGAAGCTCATAAAACGCGAAATGAACATTCGATTCCATTCAGATCTGGCACATCACAAAATTTCCATCAACACATGATCTGTTATAAAGATGGTAGAGATGGAACCATTCCTTCTGACACGTCCCCCACAAAGGGTCAAAGTTTTGAATAACCAAAACGATTATAAAATCCGAAATAAGCGTTCAGGTCTCTTTATATTTCACACATCCCATTATTTCTACTAACACACGATCTTCTGTGAAGATGGTAGAAATCGGAAAATTTCTTCTGGTACCTCCCCCACAAAGGGTCACAGTTTTGAATAACCAAAACGATTATAAAATCCGAATCAATTCTCTCATAACTTGCGAAACAGGTCGGCAAACCCGACTGATACTTTTTAAGTTGTTTTTATAGAAGGCTAAAATTTTGCACACATTTTTATTTTGCATGTACACAGGTTAAGTTCGTAAATGGGCCATGTAGGTCCACGTTTTCATGTAGCCCCCATATAACGGTACCTCCCTATATTCGGTATTTTGATAATTTTAGCGACATTGTCTACCGGAATTATTTCAAATTTCTTATTTGAAGATCTGAACGGATACTGCAACCAATGACAAAAAATTACTTATGCAAGCTCACGTCTTCGTATAGCCCCCATGTAACATTACCTCCCAATATTTCGTATTTTGATGATTTTAGAGACATTATTTACCGGAATTGTTTCAAATTTGATATTTTAAGTTCATAATGGATACTACAGCCTATGACAGAAAATGGTCTGTGTCGGTCCATGTCTTGGTGGTATAGCCCCCTCCCAATATTATGCATTTTGATGATTTTAGCGTTATTATATACTATCAGCTCCTCCCTCTATTCGGTATTTTGACGATTTTAGGTACAATACTCACCGAAATGGTTTGTGATGTCGTATTTGAAATTCGTAATAGATGCTACAGCATGTGACAAAAAATTGTCTATGCAGGTTCAGGTCTACGTATAGATCCGATATAACGGTACTTCCCTATATACGGTATTATGATATTCACCGTTTATTTCGTGTTCCGATTTTAAGTATGGTAGTGGCTTATGATAAACAATGCCAATGTAAGTCCACGTCGTAAAGACCCCAGTGTAACGGCTATATTCCGTATTTTTTAAATTTTAACAGAATTTTTAACGAAATTTATATTTTGAAAATTTGGATATTGAAAGTTCGGCCTGGTCGAACTTACTGCTTTTTAACTTATTCTTCTTTTTTTATAGGGCGGCATGTACATCTTACAGCTGCTGGACTGGTATTCCGCCTCTATATCGGTTATATTGATTTGTATACTGGAGGTGGTGATGGCTTCGTGGATCTATGGCATTGATAATTTTCTGGATGATATTTACTTTATGATTGGCAAGAAACCGGAAAAAATCTGGCGCTATTGTTGGAAATATGTAACGCCAGCCATTCTTGTGGTAAGTTTGGAAGGATGAAAGGACGAGAGTGGATGATGATCCTTAGCACTTCTTAAATAACATATTTTTTCTTTTCCTTTTCAGTTTATTTTCTTCACCAGCATTATATTCAATCGCCCTGTACGCTACAACGATAAACTCTATCCGGAATGGGCGGTGGCTTTGGGTTGGTGCAGCTGTGCCATCTCAATTGCATGCATTCCATTGTATATGTTGTGGACGGTGTGTCATCGTCGCGGTAGTCTGCGTGAGAATTTGATGGCCTCGTTGAAGGCGAAATTTTGGCTACCAGCCCAGGAGGACTATCGTGTGGCCTATGCCGAATTTAAGACAGCACGCAAACTAATGGATGAGTTGAGTAGTCGGAACTTTGAGAAAGTCGAAATGCTAAGAAAGCCATAGAAGAGTCGAAGAAGTTTCCTAAAAGCCAGCAAAATTTCTAGAAAATAGAATAATTCCAGAAAAAAATGTACCAAAAAATTTAATAATTAATTATTGCAAAACATATTCCTTGTATTAGACAATTAACAAAAAATACACACACATTTTATTTAAAACTTATTTTCAATACATTAGCTTTATTTCTTAAAAAATCTCATTTTTATTTAACTATTTATCTACGGGGGGTAAAGCAAAGAATATTTACATTTGAAGTTATTCGATTCAATGGTTCCATCTATCACAATATTGAAATATATGCTTTGTACCTTCACACGCACACCACACTTTACGTTGGATTACAACACATCGTCGGTCACCTCATTCAGCTGGTGTGTAATCTCCATATTACCCATTGCTTCCTCATAACGCTGGCGATCTTCGGGCTGTGTGGGATACCAATCGGTGGGACGACAACATCGTTGAAACCGTGTCTTAAATGATCCCATGCTCTGTAGCATTGAATGGGCGGCATAACCGGGTATGAATAGCCATGGCAGGAGCATAAAAATGAAACCCAAAATAGCAATAATGACATTTGACAGCATATGCTCGTAGAAGGCCACAATAATGCCGAGTAACTGGAAGGATTAAAAAAAGAAATATTTCAAATTAAAATAATAATATTCAATGCCATTAAAAAATAAGTAAAAAAACATTAAGTTCGACCGGGCCAAACTTTTAATACCCTCCACCTTAGGGTTAAGTAAACATTAGAAGAAATGTGGCAAAAACCATTAAAATGCCGAATACCGGCAGGTACCGTTATATTGGGGCTATACCAAATCGTGGACCTACACATGCAATGTTTCGCCAAAGAAGCTAGAACCCAATATGACCTACAAATACCAATTTTCAGACAAATCCGTGAAAAAATGTGTCAAAAATCATCAAATTACCGAATATCGGGAGGAACCGTTGTATGGGGGCTATACCAAAACGTGGACCTATAATTACAATGACTCGCCACACGAACTAGGACCCTTTATGATCTACAACTACCAATTTTCAGAGAAATTCTTGAAAAAATATGTCAAAAGTCATCAAAATACCGAATGTTGGGAGGTACCGTTGTATGGGGGCTATACCAAAACGTGGACCTATAATTACAATGACTCGCCACACGAACTAGGACCCATTATGACCCACAAATACCAATTTTTAGACAAATCAGTGAAAAAATGTGGCAAAAACCATAAAAATACCGAATATTGGGAGGTACCGTTATATGGGGGCTATACCAAATCATGGGCCCATACATGCAATCTTTCGCCACCGGAGCTGGAACCCGTTATGACCAACGAATACAAATTTATAGACAAATCCGTGAAAAAAATGTGGCAAAAAAAATTAAAATACCGAATATCGGGAGGTACTTTTATATGGGGGCTGTACCAAAACGTGAACCCATACATGCAATGTTTTTCCACACGCACAGGGACCCGTTATGACCTACAAATACCAATTTTCAGACAAATCCGTGAAAAAATGTGGCATAAATCATCAAAATACCGAATATCGGAAGGTACCGTTATATGGGGACTGTACCAGAACGTGGACCGATATATCTCATTTTCAATACCAATCATCCTAGATACAATACAATTTGCTCTGCTAAATTTTGGCACTCTACGTCAAATAATGTGGGCTGTATCGTGATTTCAACAGACAGACAGACGGACATCGTTAAATCGACTTAGAATTTTATGCTGATTATGAATATATATATATACTTTATGGGGTCTACGACGAATATTTAAGGATGTTACAAACGGAATGACAAAGTTAATATACCCTCCTTTCCAAGGTGGAGGGTATAACAAGTCAGAAAATGTCAGTCGGTTTTGCCGACAGATGTAACCCTCAGCCAAGGCTCGATTATTTAAATATGTTTTGAATTCTGTTATGATTATTCTATGGACTAGGTTACGACGGAATGGGTCAATATTGATCATTTCGTGTCGGACCGGAATACAGATGATATAAATATTGCGACGTGCCAGGTTCGGACTATATTGGCTACTATCTTTACTTTATATGAAATACATGATCAATTTTAGAGAATGTTGAAATGTGCTTGAGGTACCAGATATAGTCGACCGAAGTATTCAATTTGCATGCTTCATCTAATACATATACAGATTTTGGTATGGGCAATATTTCAAGAAAATCGAACGTTTATATCCAATTTAAGGGAAACCATAATGGAATGGTCCGATCTCTACCGCTTTTATAACAGATCCTGTGTTGATAGAAATATTCAAAATAAAATAAATGGAATCGGATGTTAATTTTGCGCTTTATTAGCATAATGGATATTCAAAATGTCGTTGTGGGGGAGAGGTACCAGAAATAGTGGGCCGATATATTCCATCTTAACACAAGGCCTTGGGTTAATAAAAATATTGGGATGTGTGAAATTTGAAGAAAATCGGACTCTTACATCACATTTTATAAGATTTTTAATTATTCAAAAGGTTGACCCTTTGTGGAGGAGGTACTTGATGGAGTGCACCGATATTGTCCATTTTCACACCTGACCTAGCAATGACGCAAATATTAGGGTTTGCAAAGTTGGAGCAAAATCCGATTATCTTTTCTCTTTCTGTGCAAAAAATTTTTTTTTTTTGGGAAAATTTTAACTTTTGTGGGGGATGTACAAGAAAGAGTGGACCGATATATTCCATCTTAACACAACGCCTTGGGTTAATAAAAATATTGGGATGTGTGAAATTTGAAGACTCTTAAATCACATTTTATAAGGGTTGTAATTATTCAAAATTTTGACCCTTTGTGGCGAAGGTACTTGATGGAGTGAACCGATATTGTCCATTTTCGCACCTAACCTAGCACTGACGCAAATGTTAGGGTTTGCAAAGTTGGAGCAATATCGGATTATCGATTCTCTTTCTGTGCAGGAAATATGTTTTTTGGAAATATCGACCTTTTGTGGGGGAGGTACAAGAAGAAGTGCCCATCTGCGAACTCGATCTAAGTTTGACAAAAATATTACGTTGTACCAAGTTTGGATCAAATCGGATAATGCCTTCGAGAGTTATCGTGAGCACCAACCAGACAGACGGACATCGCTAGATCGACCCCAAATGTCCTGAAACGGCTTTGGTTCAAGGAGACCTAGGGTTAAAACCGTTATTTCGACTAGGCACGTTTTGGTCGTATCAAATGATTTATACCTTTCTTAGCCATATGGCTGAGGGTATAAACATTTTGCACAGATCAGACTTTTGTGTGCAGGCAGGCCAAGTTCGAATATGTGCTATTTAACGGTACCCCCGATATTCGCTATTTTTGATGATTGTAGCCACATTTTTTAATGGAATTGGTTTAAAATTCACAGAAGGAGTTACTTCTGTGTACCATACCCCCTTGGAAGGACATTTTTATAACGGTACATCCCGATATTCGGTAGATGATGATTTTAGCCACAACTTTCAAAAGAATTGTCTGAAATTCCACACCAGGAGTTCTTTCTGAGTACTTTAATACCTGGAAGAGAATTGTCTATATAGGTCCACGATATCGTATATCCCCCATATGACGGTACCTCCCGATATTCCTAATTTGATTATTTTAGTGACATTTTTGTTCGGAATCGGTCAATCATTCAAATTTCGTACTTGAAGTTTTAAGCTCGTAATGAATACTACAACCTATGAAGGAAAATTCTCTATAAAGGTTTTCGTATAGCCCACATATAACGGAATCTGACTTTATTGGGTTTTTTGATTATTGAAAAGAATTATTTCTAAATTTGTATTTAAAGTTCGGAACGGGTACTTCAGTCTATGACAAAAAATATGCGGGTCTTCGTATATCCCCCATACAACGGTTTTCATTCATGTGGCATTTTTGAAATTTTTCAATATCCTTCAAAATGGTGGAAGGTATTAAATTGACCGAACTTAGCTGCTTTTTTATTTGTTTGCATTTAAAATGGTGGATTTTTAGAGAGTATCTTTAGATCCTGAGCGGGGATTTTTGGGATTATTTTTAGATCGTAAAACCGTGTTTTTTTTAGGAATTATTGCTAGTTATCGCGTGATTTTTTGTGGGAATAGTTGTCGAACCTTGGATTTTTTATAAAACATCTTTAGACCTTGAAAATTTAAGGTATATTTTTAAATTCAAATTTTTAAGGAAACTTTTAGACTTCGCAAATTCAATATTTTAAAACAATATTTTTGAGATTTGGAAGAGTGGATTTTAGGGAGGATTTTTTAACCCTTGAATCACGCAATGTTTAGGGATTTTTTTTAAACCTCGAGTTATATTTGGGAATATTATGAACTATTTTTAGGATTTTTTTACCCTCAGACGTATGGCTAGAGAGGGTATATATTATTTGATACGGCCAAAACGTGCCTCATAGAAATAACGGTCTTAGACCCTAGGTCTCTTTGGACCAAATCCGTCTCAGGATATTTTGAGTTGATCTAGCGATGTCCGTCCGTCCGTCTGTCTTTCTGGCTGGTGTATACGATAATCCAAACTTAGAACATCGTAATATTATTGTCCAACTTAGAATGGAGACGGGCAATATCGGTCCACTCCTTCCGGTACAACCCACACAGGAGGCCAAGAAAAAAATTATAATAATAATAATTTACTGCACAGAAAGAAAAGGGATAATCCGATTTTGCTACAACTTTGCAAATCCTAATATTTGCATCAGTGCTAGGTCAGTTGAGAAAATGGACAATATTGGTCCACTCCATCAAGTACCTCCCCCACAAAGGGTCAAAGTTTTGAATAATAATCACTTTTATAATTTGTGATATAAGAATCCGATTGTCTTAAAATTTCACACATCTCAATATTTTTATGAACTCAAGGTCTGGTGTGAATATGGAATATGTAGGTCCAATCCTTCTGGTACCTCCTCCACAAAGGGTCAACATTTTGAATATCAATGAAGCTCATAAAACTCGAAATTAAAATCCGATTCCATTTAGACTTAACACATCTCAATATTTCCATCAACACAAGGTCATATAAATATGATAGAGATCCGATGATTTTTTCTGGTACCTACCCCACAAAGGGTCAAAGTTTTGAAAAACCAAAACGATCATAAAATCCGAAATAAGCATCAGGTTCTCCTCATATTTCACACATTTCATTATTTCTACTAGCAAAAGTTCAGCCGTGAAAATCTACTCCTTCGGGTACCTTCTCATAAAAGCTCATAAAACGTGAAATTAACATCGGATTCCATTTAGGCTTGGTACATCTCAACATTTTTGTCAACACAAGATCTATTATGAAGATGGTAGAAATCGGGCCATTCCATCTGGTACCTCCCCCACATAGGGTTCAAGATTTTGAGCCCGCTCAAAAAAAGCAAAATTAGCATCCAACTCTGTTCAAATTTCACACATACAAACATATGAATATGAATAAGGTCGAAATGTTCATAACAGAAGTATTTGAATATTCGAACATTGGCTGATGGTATGCATCTGTCGACAAAACCGACTGATACCTTTGCATTTGTGTTTTTTATTGAAGTATGGAATCAAAAGGAAAATTTTGGATGGACACCTGACCAAGAAGCAGACCTCGAAGCATTGATCTTGATCTTGGATTATTATACGGACCATTATTGAAGGGTGTATTTTCAGAAGGCCCACCAGATATCAAGCGTAGGCTACTCAGGGAATATTTTTAGATGAGCGATCAGATATTGAAACATGGATTTTTCGGGAATATTTTAGATGGACCACCTGACCTGGAAGTATTGATTTTTCGGAATTTTTTTAGCAAGACCTCGAAGCTTTGATCTTGGACTATTAAATGGATCATCACACCCCAAAACCAAGATTTTTTTATTGCATTTTTTTAAGAAGCTCCAACCGACTTCGAAGCTTGGACCCTTGAGTAAATAGTATTTTTAATGACACTTACCAATGCCAACAGCATACCCATTGGTGCCACGAATCTCAAAATATTGATATTCCAGGTGGAGAAACGATGATTGGTCATAAATTCAAAATCACGTTGGAAACGAACCCGGCCATATATCCAGAGGACGACCAAAATTAATAGTAAATTAATGGCCGTATGAGTGGTATAAGTATCAACTGCCAGGGCCGTGAAATAGGTAACACCGTGCTGGAAAAGTAACGGGATATTAATGAGATTTTTCTGTTTTGATTTCCGAAATATCGTGGCAACTTACATTCGATGTAAAATATAAAGAAACCGCTGTCATCAGACCAACTAAGGCCATTGAAACTTCCAATTTCTTTTCGCGAAGTTTGACGAATTCATCAAATATTGTGGTTAAAATTGAATTCAATTGAATTAGCTGTAATGGGAATATTATGAGTAAAGTGAATATTTGCATATCTCAAGATTCTGATTCGAAAATATTTGCTCAATTTTGCGTGGATATTCCGAAACTTTTTCGAAATCTCAGCCATTTTTGCCCCTAACTCATGATAATGAAACTACTCCAGCCAAAACTTACAATTAATAACATGCCACTAAGGAACAACATGAAATACAACAGCATCGACCAGAAATTGGGCCAAGGCATATCGGCCATTACACTGCCACTGGAAAGATACAGGGTCCAAATATTCTCCACTTCCGAATAGTAGTTGTTTTCCGTTTTAACTGTATAAAAAAAAGAAATAATATATTTTTCATAAAAAAAAGAATATTTTAATAGTCATCCTTACCTCTCAAATAGACCTCGGTAAAGTTCTGCAACATATCTATGCCCAAGATGAGGAAAAATTGCCCCAGTCCAATTATCCAACTGTACTTGACAATGTTCGTTTTGAATTTATTATAACTTGACAGGGTTATGAATAGACCCCAACCGGGACCAAAACCCGATATACCATATATCGGTATGGCAGCAATACCAGCACCAATATCCCTCCATGTCGGTATGAAGAGATGACGATACACTTTCTCAGCTCCGGGCAAAAAACTGAAACGTATCAAAAGAAACACCAAAATTCCGAGTAAAGTCCAAACGCAATAGCGAACAATGACACCGAACTGAAAATAGATTAGAATACATTACAAAGGTCTTGCAACAAGAAATTGAGAAAAAGTTCAGTTAATTACACTGTGCAACAGAAACAATAGCAAGTTAAACAAGTAAAAAAGCTGTAAGTTCGGCCGGGCCGATCTTTGAATACCCTCCACCATTTGGAACGATTTTGACAATTTTCAAAAAAAAAAAAAAATAAATAAATAAATAAAATCCATTAAAAATTCTGTTAAAATCTTAAAAATACCGAACGTAGTCGTTATATTAGTGTCTATACGATGACGTGGACCTGCATAGACAACTTTTGTCGTAAACCATTACTATACACAAATGCGAAACTTGAATGAAAAAATTCGGTGAATAATGTAGCTAAAATCATCCAAATACCGAATATCGGGAGGTACCGTTATATGGGGGCTATACGAAGACGTGAACCTGCCCAGACAATTTTCTGTCTTAGGCTGTAGTATCCATTACGAATTTGAAATACCAAATTTGAAATAATTCCGGTGAATAATGCCGCTAAAACTATTAAAATACCGAATATCGGAAGGTCCCGTTATATGGGGGCTATACCAAAACATGGACCTGCGCAGACAATTTTCTGTCTTAGGCTGTAGTAACCATTACGAATTTCAAATACCAAATTTGAAACAAATCCGCTAAATAATGTCGCTAAAATCATTAAAATACCGAATATCGGAAGGTACCGTTATATGGGGGCTATACCAAAACGTGGATCTACATGGTCCATTTTGAATGCCAAAAGTCCTGTAGACATAACATACATTTGAATAAATTTTTATCAATCTACTTCAATTTGTTCGGAAGCTAGAGTGATTTCCATAGACGGAGAGACGGATAGACGGATGGACATCGCTAAATCGACATAGAATTTTATGATGATCAGGAATATACATACTTTGTGGGGTCTAAATTGTATATTTAGAGATGTTACAAACGGAATGACAAACTTAATATACCCTCCATACTATGGTGGAGGGTATAAAAAGTATCAGTCGATTTTGCCGGCAGATGCATACCCAGCCAAATGTTCGATTATTCAAATATATGTTGACTTGTGCTATTATTATTCAAATTGTTGACCCTCCATGGAGTAGGATTCGAAGGGATGGGTCAATAATCTCTATTTCGTATCGGACCTAAATAAATATGATATAAATATTGCGACGTGCGGGATTGGACTATATTGGTTCTTTCCGTCACTTTAAATGAGACATGTGAAAATTTTAACAAATGTTGAAAAGTGCCTGAGGTACCAAATATAGTGGACCGAAGTATACTCCATTTCCACACTTCTTCTAATACAGATACAAATATCGGTTTGGGCAAAATTACAAGCAAATCGAACATCTGTATCCAATTTTGTGCGAAATCATAAATTTCATATTCATCTCAGGTTTCTAGTTGAGAAAAATATTTAGATAAAGCAATTTGTTTGTTCCGCAAGTTATGACAGATAAAAGTATTGTGATCCCTTGTGGGTGAGGTGCAAAAAGGCGTTCTTAGATATACATCATCTTCACAACAGATTTTGAGTTAGCAAAAATATTTGTATGTGTGTAATTTGAAGAGAGTTTGATGCTTATTTCGCTTTCTATGAGCGCATGGTTTTTCCATGTTTTGAACCAAATGTGGGGGAGGTACCGAAAGAAATGGTCCGATCTTCACCATCTTTATAACATATCTTGCGTTGATGGAAATATTGAGATGTACCAAGTCTTCAATGGAATCGGATGTTAATTTCGCGTTTTATGAGCTTCATAGATATTCAAAATTTTCAGCCTTTGTGGGGGAGGTACCAAAAGGAGTGGACCGATATATTCCATCTTAACACCAGATCATTGATTTATAAAAATATTGGGGTGGTGTGAAATTTTAGACAATCGGATTCTTACATCACATTTTATAGGAGTTATAATTATTCACAATTTTTACCCTTTGATCGAATGACCGATATTGTCCATTTTCGCACTTGACGTAGAACTGATTCAAATATTAGGATTTCCAAAGTTGGAGCACAATCGGATAATCCTTTTTTTCTGTGAAGCTTTTTTTTTGGAAAATGTCGATCTTTGGTGGGGGAGGTACCAGAAGGAGTGGACCGATGTATTCCATCTTGGCCCAGACATTGGGCATACACAATTATTGGGATGTGTGACATTTGAAGACAATCGGACTCTTACATCACATTTTATAAGAGTTGTAATTATTCAAAATTTTGACCCTTTGTGGGGGATGTACTTGATGGAGTGGACCGATATTGTTCATTTTCGCATCGGATCTAGAACTGATTCAAATATTAGTATTTGCTAAGTTGGATCAAAATCGGATAATCCTTTCTTTTTCTGTGAAGCATTTTTTTTTTGAAAATGTCGACCTTTGGAGGTGTACGTACCATAAGGAGTGGACCGATATTGCCCATCTCCGAACTCGACCTAAGTTTAATAATAATATTACGATGTACCAAGTATTTACCAAATCGAATACTGCCTTCGAGAGTTATCGTGCGAACCAACCAGCCAGGCAGATAGACAGACGGACGAACATCGCTAGATCGACTCCAAATGCCCTGAAACGGTTTTGGTCCAAAAAGACCTAGGGTCTAAGACAGTTATTTCGAGGAGGCACGTTTTGGCCCTATCAAATGATGTACATATGGCTGAGGGTATAAGAAATGGCACCAATATTTATACCCTACACCACATAGTGCTAAGGGTATTATGTCTTTCTGCATTTGTTTGTAACATGCGGAAGGAAGTTAGATAGACCCATAGTTACTTTTGAGGATCTTCATAAAATCACTTTCTGTCCATGTATTCTTGTGAACAACATACAGGTCGCATTTTTTATCCGATTGAGATGAAATTTTCCAAATAATTTTTGTTTGGCCCAAGGACAATTGTTGAAATTGGTGAGAATCGCTTCAAATTTATATATAGCTTCCATATATATATTCAGCCGATTTCGAGGTTATTGTGCACCAAATTGCCAATAAATGTCCAAATGACCTGAATTTTGGTTCATCCCACTGAATTCAGTCTAGAAGCAAGTACATTAAATTTAGAGAATATCGGTTCAGATGTAGCTATAGCTCCCATATATATGTTCAATCCGATTTGGGGGGTTTAAGTCCCTCACATGCACTCCACCTGTATGATATGTGGTACCGGACATCAGATACTGCTCGGAAATACCTCTGTAAAATTTTATCGAGATCGGATCAGAAAAAAAAAATTTATCGAGATCGGATCAGATTAGGATATAGCTCCCATATACATCCGAATTAGGGTTTAAAGTGCCTCACAAGCGTAATATGCATTCCACAACAATGATCATTGGTGCCAGATATAAGATACAGCTGTGAAGTAAGTGTATCGAATTTTGTCAAGATCGGTTCAGATTTGGATATAGCTGACATATAGATCTTCAACCGATTTGGTGTTAATTGTGCACCAAATGCTCAATATCAGTCCAAATGACCTGAATTTAGGCACATCCGACCGAATTCAGTGTAGAAGCAAGTACATCAAATTTGTTGACAATCGGTTCAGATATGGCTATAGCTCTAATATATATGTTTTACCTGATTTGGGTGTTTATGTCCCTCACATTCATAATATCCACTCCACAGGAATGATATTTGGTACCAAATATCAGTTACAGCCCAGAAATACCTCTGCCAAATTTTATCAAGATCGGTTCAGATTTTTATGTAACTTCGATCTACATGGGGTGTTGGGTATCATACAGTCGGCCCGCCCGACTTTTGACCTTTCCTTACTAGTGAAGTTTACATAAATGTACGAAACTTGATATAAACAGTTAAATCATTGCCATGGGCATAACATAACTTACCGTTTCGGTTTTGAAAAATCTGTAGACTATAACTGCAACAATGGCCCAAACAAACAGGGCACATAGAATCAACTGCCACGACATTGAGTAATCCACATCATTGTAGTCGAACAGATTCAGGTCGTGGAATAGGGAACTTGAAATAAAAAAGAAAATCGGAAGCAATTATATAAAAATTGAAGAAAGTGTATTCAAAACTTACTGGAAATACAAAACGGAGGGTATATGATGATTAACATAATTATCATGGTATGAAGAAGTTTCATTTGTCCCCTCCCCAGATCCACTGCCCTCAATAAATTCGGTGAGATTACCAAATTTCATATTACACAACTGAAAATAAAAACTAGCAATTTAAGTTGATCCAATCGTAATGTCTCTCCTTTCAACTTACATTGATTTCCTGATCCTCGGTTAGGTTCTGGGCCCATGTTTTAAATCCTTCACAACTCCATGGCAAGGTGGGATTCATTGAGGCAAAGAAATACAGCAGTGGCACCATGGCAAATATGCTATAGTAGGTCAGCACACAGATATTCATGGCCAGGGTAACATAACCAATACCTGTGGGAGAGAGGTTAATTTCGGGGTTTGTGTGGTTGATTGAGAAATATTACCTTTAAATAATGGCGCCAAACGAAACGATGATATAAACCCACTGCTGGAAAACTGACCCATAAACGATTGTATAACAATAAATGGTATTATATAGACAGCCAAGCTGATAAGATAGACGGGCAGGAAGGAGACAACTGGAATTTGATGTAAATATTTGGAAATTAAAAAAAAAAACATTTTTAACAAATTTCGAAGCCCCCCCAGCCTTATTACACGTCATAAGAGACTCTGATTCCAAACTACAGAATTCTAGCTCATTCCGTTTGTCTAACATAAAATTTTCATACTTTTCGTACCCTTTTAACAAATTTCGAACCCTTTTTACAAATTTCGAAAAGACCAAGTCTTGGCGAGTAACCTGTAAAAAGGGTTCGAAATTTGTTAAAAGGGTACGAACAGTACAAAAATTTTGTGTTAAACAAACAGAATGAGCTAGAATTCTGTAATTTGGAATGAGAGTCTCTTATGTAGTGCAGGATAGATGTACCGAAGGGTTTTGGAAATTTATGATTACAAACGTTCTAAAAGTCTATCATTTGGTATTATGTGAACGGATAGAGGTAAAAAATTGAAATTTGGTATGAGTTGGAAAAGTAAGTTTGATATACGAAGGATATTTTGGATATGGGCACTAATTGTGCCAACTGTACTAAGTGGTACTAAATTCCGAAGAATCTGGTTTAGGGTGACCAGATGAAGCTGGAATTTTTAAATGTTGTATTGGGGTCCCTGTTATAGGTAGATTTGTGATAAAGGCGTGGTTTTGGAAATGTGTACTACAAATGAACGTAAAGTACTAAATATTCCTATATTTGGTACAATTTGATATTGTATGAACAGATAGAACTTAAAATATAAAATTTGGTATTAGGGTCGCTATTAATATGTAGCCTTGACATGTGGAGGTACTTTTGGAAGTGTGTATTTTAATTATACGATCCGAAAAGTTCAGAATGGCACTATATTTGGTATCGGATGAAGCGATAGAGATACAATTCTGAAATTTGATATTGATCTGAGGTTGAGATTTGGCGGTTGTTCGAAAATGTAGCCGATCTCTTCACTTGGGTAAAAAAAAATTTTGTCATAGTTTTTATACCCTACACCACATAGTAGTAAGGGTATTATGTCTTTGTGCATTTGTTTGTAACATGGAGAAGGAAACGAGATAGACCCATAGTTACTTTTGAGAACCTGCATAGAATCACTTTCTGAGTCAGTCCGTCTGTCCATGTATTCTTGTGAACAAAATGCAGGTCTCATTTATTATCCGATTGAGATGAAATTTTCCAAGCAATATTTTTTTGGCCCAAGGACGAACCCTATTGAAATTGGTGAGAATCGGATCAAATTTAGATATAGCTCCAAATGTCCACTATCAGTCCAAATGTACCAAATGTCCACTATCAGTCCAAATTACCTGAGTTTTGGCACACCCAACCGAGTTCGGCCTAGAAGCAAGTATATCAAATTTGGAGAAAATCGGTTCAGATATAGCTATAGCTCCCATATATATCTTTCATCCGATTTGATCTTTAAGTCCCTCACATTCCTACTATGCACTCCACAACCGTGATATTTGGTACCAGGTATTAGATGGAGCACTGAAATAGCTGTTTTAAATTTTATCGAAATCGGTTCAGATTTGGATATAGCTCCCATATATATCTTCATCCGATTTCGGGTTAATTGACCACCAAATGGCCAATATCAGCCCAAATGGCCCGAATTTTGGCACATGTGACCGAGATTAGCCTTAAAGCAAATACAACAAATTTGGAGAAAATCGTTTCAGAAACAGCTATAGCTCCAATATATATGTTTTATCCGATTTGGTGTTTAAGCCTCTCACATTCGTAATATGCACTCCACAAGAATGATATTTGGTACCAGATATAAGATACAGCCCAGAAATAGCTGTTTGTAATTTTATCGAAATCGGTTCAGATTTGGATATAGCTCCCATATATATCTTCATCCGATTTCGGGTTGATTGTGCACCAAACGGTCGATATAAGTCCAAATGGACTGAATTTTAGTACATCGAACCAAATTCAGCCTAGAAGCAAGTATATCAAATTTAGTGAAAATCGGTTCAGATATAGATATAGCAACCATATATATATTTCATCCGATTTAGTGTTTTAGTCCCTTACATTCGTAATATTCACTCCACAACCGTGATATTTGGTACCAGATATTAGATGGAGCACAGGAATAGCTGTTTTAAATTTTATCGAAATCGGTTCATTTTGGATATAGCTCCCATATATATCTTCATCCGATTTCGGGTGATTGACCACCAAATGGCCGTAATAGCATCAATTTTGGCAAATCCGACCGAAACCAGCTTAGAAGCAAGTACACCAATTTTAGTAAAAATCGGTTCCCATATATATCTTTCATCCGATTTAAGTCCCTCACATTCGTAAAATGCACTCCACAGGAATGATATTTGGTATCAGATAAAGCCCAAAAATAGTTGATTTTAATTTTATTAAAATGTGTTCCGATTTGGATATGCCTCCCATATATATATTCATCCGATTTCGTGTTAATTGTGCATCAAATGGCCAATATCAGCCCAAATCACCTGAATTTTCGTACATAAGACCGAATTCAGTCTAGAAGCTAATACGTCAAATTTGGAGAAACCCGGTTCAGAAATAGCTATAGTTCGTAAAATGCACGACAGAATTAGATAGATTTTGATTTTGTACCAAATATCTCATAGAGTTCTGAAATGCCCTGTATAAACCTTTTTACGAGAGCTCTACTAAATATGCATAGTGGTGTAGGGTATCATATAGTCGGCCCCGCCCGACTTTTGAGCTTTCCTTACTGGGTTTTTTTTAATAACTTCCGAGGAGAATATACCAGACAAAAAAAAACAAGAGAACTGGTGAGGATTGGTAGCTCTTTCCGAAACCTAGGTATTCCATGCCTTAAACATTACCATCGTTCTCCGCCAATAAACAAACGTTGTTTTCATAAAAACAACAATAAAGGGATTAAGATTGACCAATTTGCAACAACAAAATACTATGGTATCCCGAAAAAACAATTCAACACTATTCTATAGGAGTTGTACGAAAAGTTCTTAATTGTACTAAATTTTTTATTGGGTGAAGCGTTTGGACTGAAATCTTTAAATCGATATTGAGGTATCTGTTGGTATCTGGAATTGAGATATGGGGGTGGATTTGAAAATGTGTAGTATAATTGTACGAAAAGTGCTATATTTGGTATTGGGTGAAAAAATTGAGATAAAATTCTGAAATTTGATATTTAGAAGAAGGGATAGAGTTTAAATCCTGAAATGTGATATGGATTTCCCTGTTGCAGTCTGCGGTTGAAAGAAGGAGCTGGTTGAGGATATCCCCACTATAATTGTACTAAATGGTACTAAATTTGGTAACGGGAGAAATTAATGAGGCGAAATCCTGACATTTGATATCAATATAGATATCTGAGGTTTAGATATGGAGATTGTTTTTAAATACGTACTATAATTGTTCGAAAAGAACTAAATGCTACTATATTTGATATAGGGTGACACTGACGCTGAAACCTTGAAATTTAGTATTTAGTGTCTAGCAACGCGATATAGAAGGGTTTTGCAAATTTTTACTAAAGTTATACGAAAAGTACTGAGGGTTACTAAATTTGACATTAAGTGAAGGTATGGAGCTGGAATCCTCAAACTTGATCTGGAATTGAGATATGGAGCTGCTTTTGGAGTTATGTACTGTAATTGTTCGAATAGTACTTAATGGTACTAATTTTGGATCACTGTTGTGTGGTGTCTAGAATTTAGAGAGTTAGATTCTTTTGGATATGCGTACTAAATGTTACTAAATTTGGCCTTGGCAGAAATTCTGAAGAATAAAAACTCTCGTAAAATGTTTAACAACCGTCTATTGTTAACCGATCTACTTTAAATACATCCGTCCCAATTTTTTGTCGTTTATAAGAGCAATGGAATATATCAGTCCACTCTTTCTCCCCCACAAAAGTTCAAAAATTTCGAAACAAATCAAATACATCTCGTATAAACCGAGATGAGGACTCGTTAAATCCATGCTTTGAACGTGGTTTTATTTATGTAAAATTTAGATTTCTCATAAAATACAAGATTATTCACCACTTTTCTTCAAAGTACACACACGGCATAATTTCTACCATAACTAGATTATGGACAAATGATTAGGGTATATCATTGCTGCCACATATTATGTGTCCTAAACACGTATTTGTGCAAAATTATGAGACTTTAACCAAATGGGATGAGATAACAATTGGACTTCTGAAAGAACCGGATATTTCTTAAATTTGTATGAACCTATTGCAATTTATACTTTGCAATTTCATAATTGACAACCATTTTGCGCCATTTATATAGGTTAGGGTTGAGTTATCATTTTGTGATTTTTTTTTTAAATTTCACTTTACATTTTACAATTTTTTTTCATTTTTATAGCTATATGGCTATTTCCCCTTAATAGGTATATGAACATGTGTATTTAAGTGGTAGACAGCATCTATACGTGCAATATAATGCTTAATTATATAATAATTGTAATCTTTGTTTTCTTTCGATTATAAAATTGTGGTTATCAGTAAATAATATGTTCACATCGTTTACAGTATATTATACATAGTTATACGTACGTCTGTATGAATATTTCTTATTCCAGGGACTATTGTATTGAAATTTGAAAAGTTTTCATTATCAATATATTAAATTATTTTCATTAGAATACATGAACATATATACATAGTGTATATATATAAATAAAAAAAAATTGCAAAAACGCGATAATTCGTGTTTTTATCAATAATTTCTAATAAAAAAGTACCGGTACATGGAATCTTTTAAATGCCATTGTAAATGGTGAAATATTCAATTCACCGATGAAATTTTATGATTAAAATATATGTCTTTCATGTAACTTAAAAATAAATCGACTTGACTCAAAGCCAAATCTCAGTAGAACATAAAAGTAGAAATAAATAGAGAAAGGCCGATGCACGGCTTTTAAAGACTTACATCGCAAAGTAACTTAAAAAGAGGGGATAAGTTCCGCCGTCTTCAACACTTTTATAGATTTTCGGATTAAAATTCCTTGGAATT